ATTTTGTATGATTAAAAAAAAAAAAAAAGAAAAAAAAAAGGTAACTGGATTCAAAATTCTGGTGAAAATGTAGTTTGTTTGAAAGTTCTGAAAAACACTTATACACCAAAGAAATAATTAGATTCAGAACACTAGAAACACGAACACACTGGTCGAAAGTTGTTTCATAGAACGCTTATAAAACCGGATACAAGATTTAGAATTCTAGAAACATGCTTGGCAAATGTTTGAAATCAATTCGACCAACGCTACTCCTCAAGTTTATTATACAAGACAAGATACCTGAACTAAACAAAAAGGCTTTAAATTTTATTTTTGTCAACTCTCACTAGGTTTCAAGGTAAACAACACATCAAGTCTCACTGTTATTTTTGTTAGGAACACATGTACCCACAAGCAGGAATATGGAAACAGCGGCCACATCTGAATAGGGCAAATCAAATATATCTAAATAAAACGCAACATAAAGTTATTTCTTCTACAATCATAGTCCCTTATATACTAATCAGGGAACACAGCCAGCACAATGGGGCATACCAAGGTAATAAACAGTGCTACACAATCAATGTAGTCTACAAAAAAGCACAAGACAAATGTAATATAGAGGACCTAACTATACCCACTTTACACAACCCCGAAACAAAATCTTGTTACGCCTTAAAAATTACATGGGGGCCAAGGTTAATTTCCACAAATTACATAAGAAAGGTGGCAACAGCAAGATAGTGAAGATTACCGACCACTAAAAGCAACATACGTCTACTACAAGAGAAGCTTTCCTTCAAAAGAATGTTCAAAAGTGAAACATCACTGTAACTTTTGGGGAAGAACCAAATGCCGTGCTTTCATGTCTAAAATACTCCTCTTCATTACCACATTTTTGTTACGACTTTCTTACCAGAGCATGAAAGTGGGGGCACATTTGAGGTAAATGTAAGTCCAAACTCTAATTGTATATTTTCACCGGCTTCTCAAATGTATGCCGGTTCTGCAATTACAAGTGAAAAGCGTTAAAATATACTATTAAAAAAAAAAAAAAAAAAANNNNAAAAAAAAAAAGCATCTTTCATCTATGTGTATATATGAGTAAAAAAAAAAACACTTTACCTGGTTTGCCAAATATGACCTTTTGGGAGAAGTATCAGAATGTTCTAGCCCCAGGTATTGCTCCCAAGCACCATAGACATCTCTTCTCTGGAAAATAGAGATCCAAGTTTCTTGATGTTAATCAAAATGTTTCACGAAATTAATTATTGTACACTTGCATAATAAGTCATTGAAAGTAGAATTTGACCTGAAAACGACTAGAGACAACATCAGAATCCTCAAGATACTCCGGGCGTCCCAGTGACAGAAACGCAAACTTCCACTGTTTATCATAGCAAAAATACAAATGATCAGAATATTACTCAAGTCATTAAAATAAAACATAAGGGGAAAAAAGATCTCCAGAATATATAACCCAAAAATTGATTCTTGTAAAGTTGACAAAATTTCTCTGAATCATTCAATTTCCAGATAAAACGATAGTATAACATACCTTGGAAAATTCCTCATCTGGAACTTGCAGCTTCTTCTGAATGCGTACTTTAATGTCAGCTAATGTCTCACCTTCATGTATGACCAGAAAGAACGGCTCCCCAAAATTCTGGACTTGCTGTCGAGGGAAATAAAAGGCAAACATTTATATTTAAATAGTAATTAATACCCATTTATATATCCACTTTGATGGCATATATCCTCAGGAAGAGTTTAATACCACTTGATTCTGCGCGACCTCCTTAGTGAAATGGTAGACATGAATCAACCGGTCATTGGGCCCAAGATTCTTTTCTTCTTCTGGAATCTGAGAAACAAAAATATATAAATGTAAACTACATGAATCTCTATGCTTATAATCCGAACTCTACTAAATCTGAAAAAAGTCGATTTCATTCATGACATAACAGTTATTTAGGTTCTACAATTTTGATTAATACAATGTTCAGATTCATGAAGCAGATGATCTTTTCAGTTCCAAAGCTACACAGTAAAGGATTGAAAGAGAGGTCACCTCTTCAGCACGTAAAGTCCAGTACTGGTCATTTATGTTCTCAATCTTCTCATTGATGGGGAAAATCTGTAAAAACAAGAAATAGTTATATTAATACAATCTCAGATATTACTTAAAGATATTGGCCTCCATGACGAATTCTTAATGAATACAACCAAGATCAGGTCCTTCACAAGATTAACATCTATCTAATCCTTGCTAAAATTCCTGATATTCTAATACAGCAAAATTACAAATACTCCTTAACAAATTTCCTCATATGATAATTTATGAATATAAAGTACCAGAACATGTTAGGGCCAAGAATGCTACCTTGTATATCTTGTGATAGAAAACTTCAAGCAACCTAAGCTCAGCATTCGGATGAGATAGTTCCACCTATTATAAGATGCATGACGGTGTTAGTGAAACTTGTCTATCTTATGCTGCTATATTCTAACTCCAATATTGGATGTAGACATTATCAAGAACACTTGTTCGAATTTGAAAAGGTTAAGACAATAATAACCTAAAAGAGAAGTCGGGATAAGGAGAAGAAAATTTTCATGACAGTTTAGTTCTCATCTTTTCTTCCAATTGGGCAGGGGTTTACAAAGAAAAAAGAGTTTTAATTCAAATTCCATGGCTTCATTTACAGGTTTCAAGCAGCTTTGAGCAAACCTTTGTTTTGATCTCATTGAGGACATCTCCAACAGTGCTTTGCTTTGGCAATCGAATATTGAGAATTACAGCCTGAAAATGACAACATGACTAGGTCAATGATCTTTATTTGACTCGAGTTGATATGGAACACACAACTAAAACATTATTATCTGCACCTCGTCCTTGGTCGCATGATGGAAAGCAACTTTGAGAGTTTTCAGACACTGCAATTCTGGAAGGGGAATGTCCAGCACTTCATAGTACAGAATGTCCGAAATCTACCACAAGAAACCAAATATAATCATGTATGATTGAACCAACAACCTTCCAAATAAAAGTACAAAAAAGAAAGTAGCTGCAACATCAGAAAGGCGCAAGATTTTATGCCTAACCTGATTGTAATGGACAAGCATGTCTATTAAATGATCAACTGATCTATATTTAATGGGATTTGGCTTTGGTTGCTGTGAATAGCAATTGTGTGGAGTCAGCCGAATTTTAGATGGATCATCCAAGTCAAGGCGTTGGGCAACTCTTTCAACAACGTCATCATAAGTGTGACTCTTTGATCTGTAGATTTATGCCAGAAAGGGATACACAATTGTTTTACCCAAAAATAAGCAATTATAAGGAAATAACATGCCCAAAGAAAGGTGGTCCTTAAATATTGGGAACCCATTATACTTACAATTCTAGGCAAAATTCATCTTCCTTGGGTTTCTCCAAGGCTCTAAAGTGCACAATCTGCAAAAGTAATCTACATTCAAAAGGACTCTGAAGGAAAAGAACAGAGCACAATGAAAGAGGAACTCTTAGAAGAGAAGGAAGCTCAATGGAATTGACAAAATGCAAAGTGACTGAAATAGGGAAAGGCAAGACGTTTTATATCAACTACAGAAAGTGGATGGAAAGGCCTTGGCTGGGCACAATAATGTAATAAATCCACATGAATAACTTAATGCAGAGCACACAGGTATATCTATTTCTATTTTAATTGGCGCAAGTCTATAAATATTACTAGAACATTTTCCCACTCAAAATTTCTATCTTTAGTACTTTTTTTCCGCTCATTTAATCATTTTTTTATGTTATTTGTTAATGGTAGTGTGCATTAAATTTAAATAATAGCTATATAAATATTGATTAATCTATATGGTAACTACTTTAAATTTTTATTATTAATTTCAGAACTTTTTAACTTAAGACTAAAAGCAATCAATGTAACAATTAATATTATTTTAATGTGAAATGCTCATTAAATAAAATTTTATTTAAACGTACAACTTATATTATTTTTGCGCATCTAGTATTAGTTTGGCAACTCCGGAACATTCTTTAGTATGGAAACAGTGAGCAATATGATACATTGCATCCCTTCAATAAGTACACCAAAAAGGTTTGAAGAAGAAAATTTGTAAGGGTGTATAGATTGACCTGACGATTTTTCACATACTCCAAGAATGAAGGAACATCAGGAAATCGGAATTCTTCTGAGCGATCAGCTGGAGGGCGTTTCTGGAAGCAAACTATATCCCCATCTTCGATCTTGGTGAAAACGGCAAGGGCAGGAAGGAGTGAGCTCATGAAAGAGGTAAGAGACATATTGAAACAATACAAATCTTAAGAAAAAGTAGTACCTGACTAAATCGAAATGAAGCTCTTCTTTCAAGGCGTTCACACATAACAGATGGCTCAAATTTTATTTCCTACAAACATGGGAAATAATAGTCATGCTTTACGAAAGTGTCAAAATAGTATAAAAATGGGGTTTACTATGCACCATGATACATGTATCCAGTCAAACCCAAATTTGTCATAATTCAGTGTGACAATACACACCTCAAATAGTTCAATCTCTTCATCCGAAGGAAATCCAGCCATTTCATTTAACTTCCCTAGTATCTCAATAGGTTTTCCGGAGCTCTTCACAAAGAGCTTACCCACATATCTGGAAAAACAGAGCAAAAAGTCAAGGAAATTTGAAAAAAAAAAATGATACAGAAACATTAGTGATTGTATGGAAAGGCAGGCACCTAAGCTCTTCTTTTTCAGGATCATAAAGCTTAAAGAATAGCAGTATGTCGTCCTTATTTTTTTCTGGTGGAGGAACAGGAAGTGAATCCTATATATACACCCAGATCACACCATTAATGCATGAATAATCAAAATTCCCCAATTGTACTACCAAAACCAGACAAGACTCAAGAATGTGAAGTAATACCAATCCAAACTCTACTTCTAAAAATAACTTCAGTTCTGCATTATGGGCCTTATTGGAAACTTCCCTTAATGCTCCAACCTGCAAAATATAAGTATGATAAGGTCTTAAACCTTCTGAAATAGAATAGGTTGATGAAATACATGGAAAAGCAGCTGCATATCCATAGTGAAAATACGTGTAATTAATCTGAAGAGGTTCAACCAATTAATATCAAGTCGGACAACAAATTATCAGAATCGTGAAACAAAAGTAAGATATCCACATGCAGACATGGTATACATGATGGTAACTCCTCAGTCTTTCCGTTGTTCTCACATGTACAGTTCTGTTGCATTTCAGATATTATTTACATCTTAATCTTGAATATATAATTTGCATTTATACAATCCGTCAACATTCTTTGTTGCTATATTTCAAGTAGCAGAATTGAAAGCAGAACCTTTCATCTTCTATAAATTCTAACTTATGTTTTGACACACCGTCACCAACTGGTAAACACCCTTCAGACTTAGTATATATTATTTATCTGTTTAAACTTCGAAACATCAACAATGTGTATCTAGTATATTGCAGGCTAAGCACACCCATGATGGCCCTCATTACTTAGAGATTTCAACGAAAAGGAAAGCAACAATATATTTACACTTTGTGCTTCCTCCTGAGGTGTCAACGGACGGTTTGGACGGTACGTATGGTTCTGTCTTTTTGCCCATATCCAGAAGCGCTGAAATTGAACCGGTATACCAAATTCTTTGGCAACTTCTTCCTTCATAAAAGTACCACAGCATTTATTAGAATTTCACATAAAAAAATAATAGCGACACAAAAAACGTAATAAATAGCAAACAATTACTACATGAAGAACAAAATTTAATGCCTGCACGTGCACCAGTACACGTGTACAGTTGTACACTGAACCAGGCAGGAAGAATGGGACAATGTGCTTGCATGGGGAAGGCATGGATGCACGTATATGCACATCAGTACACAGAGGGTGGACCCCTATATAACAACACGCCTCATTAACCATAGAGGTATCCAGAACATTTTTCAGCATATTTAACCCCAAGGAAAAGCAACCTTGACTCAATCGTACATTTTTTTCTCTGATGTAAAAGTCAATGATGACGATAGCACATTCAAAATAAAGCAAAAATGGTAGAAAGGTACATGAAAATAACCTTTCAGATAATCAATACTTATACATCTGAAGTCATTAATTGCATATACATAACTTCCCATATGTATATTTATCTCATACTGGTCAGCCAATGTATTTGTTCAATTCATAATTTGAGATGCACTAGTTACGTTAATGAGCCATAAATGAAATGGAAAAGGACAAACCACTCAGTATTACATTAATTTTATTTGAGAATCCAAGAGAATAGATAATTCATAATGAAATGAATGAGCCAAGAATCTAAGTGGAATTCATAATGAAATGAATGAGCCAAGAATCTAAGTGGAATTTAACTCACAAAAACTCAGAATAAACTAGCCCAACATATAATATTAGGTGGTTCATCTCTTTTGATAACCATTGATGAATGTGTAATTGATCGAGAAGTCTCTTTTGTAAATTAATCTTCTCCTGCCCAAAATATTTGTCCTTAGAATTGTATTGCATTATTTTGAGAACACATACGAGGAATGTGATAAGGGCTGATGGGATTTTTCATTATTTAACTAATATTATTTTCACATTTGGGGACGTAGATAAAAGAAGCCCATTGGAAAAGGCCAGCCCATGAGACTTGTTCTTTGTTTTTTTCCCCCGAATAATGGATCCAAGGGGCAAGGTTGATACTCGATAACAATCCCAACATTAATACAATGGGTTATAAGGACTTCACTGGCCTCAACCTAATTAATGAACTGACTCTTTCACCAATCTCTTCCACTTCATCTTCACCACTGACCCAAACAACACGACGCTTTCCTTCATCATCGCCGACACTCTGCAGAAGCTCATTATCTTCTCCCTTCTCGCTTATCGTCATGTGGCTCCCTCAAATCGTCCATAACCCTATTGTACCTCTTCAAGTTCCTAAACACCCTCTGGGTTCCCTCTCTTAGATGGCAAGGAACGAATTTTCCAGAAGTGCATGGTCAGATTGTTGTAAAAACAGCGGCGCCGAGATGCAGTTCCCGACATGGCGGGCTTGATTATATCTTCTCAGGGTCGATTCATACTTCTCGGCTGTTGCTGTCGGGGAGGAGCCCTTGCAGACAGAGGCTAAGGTCAGAGAGGACGGCAAGCTTCACGTGTAGGTCAGAAAGTCGACAATCTCGAGAAGGGAGATTTGGTACTACAGCAGCAATGGGCAGCATTGCAGGCTCTCTCTGACTCTGAGGCCGTGAAAAAACACAACTTAAATTGAATTGGGGATTATTTACCTGTGGTTGGAGATGTTGGATTTGGGTGGGTTTTCCTTCTTCTCTGGCAAATTAAATACCTAAACAAAGGGCCTACAAGGGTCCTTTAGTTAATTGCAAGGGTGCTGGGGTTATTTACATTATATAATTCCACTCTCTAACTTCCCAAATGAGCAATTCGATGAGCAGATACTTATCCCAAGGGTTTTCACCATCCACAAATAAATTAAAGAAGGATATAATCATCAAGTTGAACAATAGAGGATAGTTTTTTCGGCCCGGATAAGCTAGTTATTACGTCCAAATTTGCAAACGAAACCTGAGCTAATAAGATTAAGAATACTATCAACCTATAATCCTACCCGGATCCTGACAGCCTTCGTATGGCATCAAACATTATAGACTAAGCAAAAAGGTTGTCTGGCAAGTTACATGAGTCCACTTGTTTATCATTTTAGGTCAAGCTTCAATACTTTTGTTGTTAACCTTGCTTAAAACCATCGAACAAAGTTTCGTGTTTCTCATTTGTATTTTGGCTCCATTGGGAAAATAAAGATCAAAATTCTAAGATGGCTTTTCTAGTCATCATTTAGTCTCTATAGGCTAGCATCTTTATATTTATACTATAGACCACTTCAGATCAGGCAATTTCCAAATATGTGTATGACCTAATTTTGTTATATCTAGTTACAGATTCATAGCTTTCACAGATCATGTGCCCCAAAAGGTTTTATATGTGGCACCTTTTATTCAAATGCAGCAGAATCCCTCACTCAACGCCAATAAGCTGGCAGCAAATATATGATCTTTCCTCAACCACACTCTACCAACAGTAATCATTAAAATAGACTACAAAGATGATAAAAATCCTTAGATCATCACCCCAGTACATATACCCCTAAAAGGCTTATGGTTTCATTTATTCATCATTTATTGAACAAGGTAAACTAAGAAAAATTGAACTTCAACACTTATCTCCAAAGAATAAGAAAAATTGAACTTCAACACTTATCTCCAAAGAACTAATTTTGTGTACCAATTTGACATAACCACCACAAAATAAAGAAAAGAAAATCAAGGCCAGGCAGTATTCTAAGATGAACCAACTACTTAAGTATGAAACATTCTAAACCAAAATATACAAACATCAACATGATAAACTGATAAAGAAAAACATAGTAAAGGAATGATTAGAAAAGAAAATAACAAGAACAATGAAAGAATTTCCTCCACAAGGAGAGTCCATATCAGACAAAAACTTCAGCTAACTCTACCTTGAATTGGTTAAAAGGCATCTGCTTCTGGATTCGAAAGCTACGGACTTTATCATGATCAACAAGATCAAAATATATGTCTTTTCCTATCTGCTCCTTCAAATCCTCATCTCGAGCAACCTGCAAATATGATAAATAACTTCCGCATTCCATTTATTGAAAATGTAGTGATCAATTTACAAAAAATGTGCATACTAGTAAAGACTACCTTGATAATAGTGTAAAGGTGGGCCTGTGCTTTGTATCTTCTCTTGTCTTCCTTCTCTTCTTGTTCCTTTTTCAGTCTTATCTGAAAAAAGAAGTGACATTGATTACGTAACACATTGAATATGATAATATTAAATCTCTTCTATATACTGTAACCTTACCCTTAGATGTTCTGCTATATCCTTCTCATCCACGTTGCATATTATCTTATCTTTGTCACTCACTCTTATATACACAAGCATGTATGCATTTGAGTACTTAGTAAATTTGAACGGAGTATTATTGTACCCTGGATTCGTTTGTGGCAACTGCAAGGCAAAGAAAATAAGCAACACAAACTAAAACACACAAATAGTGAAATCAAAAGGCAGAAATACTACCTCTTCTTCACCACCATACTGCTCCTCCAACGCTCTCTTCACATCTTCTTTGGTGACTCTCTCATCATCAAATTTGTACCTAAAAGATGAATGATAGAACACAAGAAAGGTCAAGTCCAGTCTGTTGAGATGATACATAAAATAGACCTATAGATATATCCACAAGGCAGATATGCAATTGATTAGGCCCATGACTGGTTACGTGGACCATAGGTTCACAAACTTATTCATGCTTGTCCAGTCATCATCATAAATGAAATCCAGAAACTTCAACATCCTTTTCTTTCCCTTCAAACTCTGAAATATATATGCCCATGGCGGATGGAAAAGATTAGACTTTTGGCAGAACTAAGGCACATACCACTGATCGGAAAGTGTTGGCCTGATAAAAGCATAATAATGCCCACCATGCACCCCGCCGCTATGCACTAAAACACTGTTCGACGAGAGAGATACAGAAGAAAAGAGAATGTTAAAGGCAAAGGACATGTGAAAGCAAGTTATAAAATGACAGACATGCCTAAAGGTCTTACCACCGACTGGACCCATATAAAATACCAAATCCATATACATATATTAACTACTACAATTATGCTACACAAAGATCAAAAACCCAAATATCCATGTGAATGCATTCCAAAGGTCCACAATATTAGGCAAATAAATCACAAATATGCACAATTAAGAGAAGAATATGCATAAAAAATATCGTCCACCTAATGTTCTCGTTTGCAGATAAAACAAGCTATTGCAACCAAAATAGGGAGTAAAATCTGGGGAAAAGGAATTATAGTATCCATGAAGCTGGAAATTGATAATTACCAAGGAACATCAGACGATAGCAATATCTAGATATCCCTAGCAAAGGGCAGAACTGAGTAAGATAGATCTACTTACATTCCCAGTTTATGAGGATAAGCAGTTAACCAACAATTCAAATGGACATTTTTAGTGACTGAAAATTTGTATATGCACCAAAATGAGCAATGGGAAACCGGGGGCAGTATGAAAAGCTGATGCATATGATTTTCAATGAGTGGGCTCATTATTATTTCCAATGAGCAAGCTCATTTCTGGTAATTAACATGTCATGCAATTCTTACATGTGCTTCTGCACTTCTAACTAACATTTTCAATTGTAGGCCACAAGCGGAGATGTATAAGCATATGTCACAAGGTAAGAGAGACTATGGCAGAGAATGGACAACCTGTGAAGCATATAGAGGTTCCGTATGCTTCTATCTGCTTCTGGTGACAAATACTTTCCGTTGTCTCTATCCAGATCAAGTTCCAAGGGAAATTCATACCGGTCATTTATCTGCAACCATGAAGCAATATTGGAAATTTCACCTCAAAAACTGACTACATGCCAGCATAAATGGACAATGGAAACCAAAATAAAAGAAAGGAAAAGAAAAGAAAAACATTGAACTCAAACAAGCAACAAGTGAAACATGACTAACGCCTTAATTACTAACCTTAACCATTGTGTCCCTCATAAAATCATACTCAAAGCGCTTCAACTGAAGCTGAAGAACTGGAGGAAAGTCCATGAACAAGACACCCTTCTTCGCATCCTAAAATTACAAACATATTCTCCAGGTCAAATAACAAAGGAAAACAAAATTTGAGATCCAATGATACATCATGCAATTTATGAAATTGGAACTCGACAGAAGGATAAATAAAAAATAAAGAAGGCCAGAATTTCATGCATCAATAGGCAAAAAAAGGCTCTAGTTCACTGGGGTAATAAATGGAATGAATGTTGTAAGGGACACCCTTTATTGTCGTTGTCGTCAAAAGCATCTGAAAAGAGAAATAGAACAAGAAGGAAAGGGATCCTCGTCTTTTTTCTTTTCCATCACCAAAATTTTGTTACTATAGCCATAAAATTTTCAACAAAAAGTACTGCACTTTAGAAAGAGAGCATACTGAAAGTTGCATCAACGGACCAGAAGTAGCGTAGAAAATGGATTTCATGATTGTGAACTATAACTAAACAACTGAATCAACAAGAAATATTGAACTACAAATACATAAGACACAAAATATAGAGTGCAACCACAAAGGGCCTAATGTCATGAGTATCCGAAAAAATGGAAAAAATGCATCTAATTTCAATGAACAAAACAACTACACCATGAAGAAACAGAAAATATAGCGATACAAAAACAAAAGAACAAATATATAAGAGCACACATTTCATATAGTGGAAAAACATTTGGGCAGTCTAACGGTACTAGATGAGGCCAGGCCACTAATTGAGATTTACTGAGCTTGGAAAAGAACGCATGCAGATCAGAGGGAGCATCAGGAAACAAAGTACTCCAGATGTCCTAATTATATTACCAGAAATAATAATAATAATAATAATAATAATAATAATGCCACACAAGTAGAATTCGGAAAGACCTACAACTAGCACAACTTAAGACGCTCAACTATTTGAAAGTGGCAAATGTCCTCACATTAACTATTTGAAGTGAACTTTTCAAGAGAATAGCCCAGTTTTAGCTAGTCACATCTCAGCTGATTACAGTCCACTAATAAAGAGCAATATTTAATGAATCAATTGACCCCTCTAAAACTGCTAAAACAAGTAAATTATAGATACTGAGACATCCAACAATTGCTAAACACGCATTCATAAGACAATACAATGAAGTGTGGTTTCAAATAAGCAACAGACCGAGGATAAGGGACAATCATCTCCGAGACGAGGCAAAAACGAGAGCTACCATTTCTGTTTCACTTGTCATCACATTCTACATCAATACCCTACATTTAGTAACTTGTAAATCTAATCTCCATGTGGTTAGCATAACATAATCTTGATACCTTGATTTATTTTTTAAATTTATGTTATCTCTAAATATCAACCATCTTCCAATTTTAATCCACATTATCATAGAGATTAGTAGGACAATATAGAAGCTCAGAAGAAAAGAAAATTGCGAAGTGCGTATCTACATGGAGCAAGAGAATACCTGCAAACCATGTTCTTCAGCATGGTATTTGTTATCTCCTTCAAGACGCTCGACCTCCACATATTTGTCAAAGGACTCATAGACATTCTTGCAACCTTTTACATCGAGTTGAAGGTCTGTCACAAGAAATTTTTGTTTATTACATGGGAAACAAATCAAAGAACACAACACTGTCAAGGAGAAATCTGACCAACAGCTAATACCATAAAAAGATTCTTTTCTTGTTGACTTGAAGTCAACATTGATGCACTCTATGTAGTTCATATGGTGACCTTCAAACAATTTTTGTATAGTCCCTTCTACAACAGTTCCCTGTTCCAGTAAAAACAACAAATTAGTTCACAGGTTGCTCTGGTGACAGCAACATCCAACAACTGCACACTGTTGAACACTAGTACCTTCATCTTGTCTTCGAGCTTTTCACATAAAACTCTGTTAAGTTCTTGCACATCATGTTGCATAAACGAATCATATGTGTCCCATCCAAATGATTTCGTCAGTTCTTTTGTAGCAACACTGGTGTCATGATATTGGAGCTTATAAAATAAACTCTGCAATGCCAATGGAATGCTTCCACTGGGGTTATCATTTTCTGTTGTCGGCATGTGATATACAGCCTGAAAAAGATTTTTTAAAGAGGCTTCATCTCTTCATCATTGACACACATCAAAACCAATATATCAGAAAAATGAGCCAACAGGAACTAATATAACCTTTCTGAAGTAAGGAATGTGGTATAAGGTTTGGAGCAGAGAATTCATGTAACAAGTTGCTCCCTGATTCTTAAGTCCAACATAGCCCGTCTCCTTCTTTGAGTCATATGTCCAATAATCAATGACCTTGCGTACGGCTACATCAGCGTGAATAACACAAGTATCGTTGACGAGGTACCCTTTTTGTGGATCATAAAGATCACTAAGAGGCATGAAAGATGTGAAACCCCAATCACTCTCCCTTTGATTGAACTGGTGCTGTGTGTCTGTGGATCCACAAGAAGACTCATTTCATCACAACTGAGGCAAGTAGATTCTTCACCAGATAGCACATTAACCCGTTCAAGTGTAAATTATAATCTTTGACCATAATGTGACAAGTAATTACATAAGAAACTAAAGGAAGAGAGACAAATGTCAGATGGATGGATAAATCATCCAGAGAAGAATAATCACCGCAGCATCTCCAGTGAAGAAGTGAGGCTTATGGAGTGATTGAAAGAAATAAAAGGATAATTTCCAATCACAGCATTATGATAAAACATCACAAAGTAAGCTAACAGCAAAAAGATATCACAGAAGTTTTCTAGTGATATAAGAAATCAGACACAAGAGATTTCACGGATGTACCTTTTCTTATTGTGAATTTGTTATTCATTTGATTAACTACAGCCAAGCTAAACTGCGCATATCTATTCCACCCATATGGCAATGTAGCTGAATCAGCCACATCTAAATACATCGACAAGTGGTCCACATTATTTCCTTTCGGAAAAATGAGCACACGCCTGTAGAAACCAATGCAACTTGAAAGGTAAGCCGTCACTCTCGAAAAAGCAAGGAAACTCAGAAACTAAATCAATAACATCTAGTCACAGAACTAATGGTCAAATAAAGAAACAATTGTATTTTTCTTTTTCCAATTTGTTCAAACTAACATATCGAATTTCCTTCCTAGTACCCAACATTACTGTGGAAAGAGGTAAAGAGAAATCACCATTTATGACCCCCAACAACAAAGACGTCAGAATAATGCTTCTTCATATTCAATCTGGAGAAGTTCTCAATTGTCCACGTGAAACTAGATGGTTGTGGGTCATCATTCACCTGGTTTTCCACAGCTCCAGCATTTTCCGCTGGCACCACTAAAATTGGACAATGCTATCAAAATGTGATTTTCAAGGGGGAAAAAGAAATAACATTGGGAAACCACAATTATATTTGCAGGAATCTTAAACTTTAACAACATGGCAACTCATTGGCGAACACCAAAAAACAAAACCTGAACAACAGCCTTCCAGGAAACAACAAAATCGGAAAATAAGATAGTACTTCACAGGCGCACAAACTCTATCCAAAAAACAAACAAACGAGCAATAGGATCAAGCAGAAAGGGAGTTGGCACCTTCCATTGGCTGAGGCCCTTCAACTAACGGCTGAGGCCCTTCCACAATATCCGAGTGAGGCACAAGCATTTCTTCATCGTCCTGATGCTACAGGTACAGAAACCAAAAATAAATAAATCAAGCAATCTTGATCCGAGAAACGCAAAAACTATTCTGCCTAAATTGAAGCACCATATCCATTTACTCGCATTCCTTTAACCAACTTCACAAGAAATCAGAACAAATTGATTAACTTAAACCCACTTCAGCCAACTCAAAACCCTAGTTGATTACAACCACTCAATCCCCAAACAAAAACACGCACACACACGCAAAGAATTCTTCGTTGCAGGACATATGAGTGAGAAAATTCGTAATAAAAAAATTGGGATATGCATGCACATCTACTGACACAGACGACAAAAGAGAGAAAATGAGCATAAGATGGAAAATCGGAGAGGAAAAGGAGATGGGGTTACATCCAACGGCGGAGGAGTCATCATCGTCATGGCCGGAGATATGACACGCCCGCCTGATCTCCAAATCTTACAGAAATAAACGTAATTTAAGAGAGAAAGAGAAAGTGGAGGGAGAGAGAGAAAGGGGGCTAGAGAGAGAGATTATATTAAAAGCCTTCTGGGGTTGAGACTTGAGAGGGTAGGCTATCGGCGGGGATATGGAGGGGATTTGTGAAGAAGTCAAGGGCAACATAGTCATTGCACATTAGTCAGAAGGCAGAGTTGCGCTGTAGTCGAGTGCAGCTTCGCTTTCTTATACATCCAATTTAATACGCGTACACGATGTCGGATGTGCGATTCGGATTTCCCACCAAAGTTTCGAGTTCCCGAGTGAAGGAGGCAGTAGAGCGAAGCATCTGATTAACCGACATTTTGTTTAGTGTTGTGCTTATTATTTTCACTAGTCTTGTTGGTTAGAAATAATTATTTAAATGAGAATATTATAATTCGTATTCTATATTATTAGATATTTTTCATATGATATGTTTTTCGTTTACAATTTTTTACTCAAAAAATAATATTTCATTCCCTTTAATTTTGTAACTCGAAACAAAAACTTAATAGTATATCATTTTTTTTTAATCAAATCATATTTGAATTCAATAAAGTGTAATAGACGTAACTTAAAAGTACATAATCGTAACTAATGTTACTAAAATAATTATCATATTGATAAGTACAAATATTAAAGAAAATTTGTGAACTAAAAATTTAAGTTGAATAATGGGAAATTTTTAAGCATATCGCACGAAATTGAAGAAATTTTTAATTTACCATTCACAAACAAATAATTATGTATATACTTGGTAGACAAACAATAATTACATTATTGTCTAAAAATCAGTTACTCATCGTAACATCCTCCATTCCATATCTTTACAGCATGATTTTCGGGATGTTACCAAGAAAAAAAAATCAGAATTTTCACTTTGGATTTATTTCCTCCGATTCCTCTCTCCTCAACTCCATTGCGTGCCTCCACGACCTCCGCAGAGACGGCGAGGAATCAGTGGATGAATTGGTGGCTAGGGTTTACTGCCCTCGACTGAAATTCGTCGTCCGATTGACAGCGGATGTGATGACGGGGTCGTCGTTAGCGGCGGTGGTTTGAGCCGGCCGTGTTGAAGTGGCGATTGGGGAGAAGAAAGTGAGGAAATCGATCGGGTCGAGCATAGCCTGCGTGAGGAGCAAAAATTGGACGAAAAGTAAAAAATCGCAGGGAAGCTTCATCGCCGCAATGGCCTCATTTTTTTATCCTGCGACTATACATAAATATTTAATATATACTGTACATATAACGAACATATACTGTAGATATACCACAACACAACATAAACGATAGAGGCGCGATCGATCTTTTTCTTAAGAAAAGTTACGCAAATATACCACAAAAAAAATGACAGGACGATTAAAATTAAGGTATATTTTATATCTATCAATTTATTTATTTATGCTTTTTTTAATTCATCTTAACGTTCAATGTATACATGAATTTATTATTTTTTTTATGCAAAATATACCAAACATTACTCAAAATATACAGAACATATACTGATCATTACTAAAAAAATATACCACACATCACTAAAAAATATACAGAACATATTTTTACTCAAAATATACCTAACATTACTCAAAATATACCAGCAGAAATTGAGGACATATACTGAACATATATCGAATATATACAGAACATATACTGAAAATAGCTCCAGGCGTCTTAATTAATCCACATTACTCAAGCTTCAAATTTTTTATCCATCTTCATCTGCTCGGAAAAACTCCCAATTAAATCCACATCACTCAAGCCCTAATTGAACTCCCGCATAAAAAAAATCAGAATTAACATGAACCTGTCAGAAAGAGGAAAAAGGAAAAAGGTTGATGCTCTTTCGGAGCTGTCGCTGCTGTTCGGCCATTGAACGAAGGCCGACAGGGAGTGCTGCTGCTTTATGCGATCTCGATGATGGTTTTTCCGGCTTCCGGCAACCGGATCGAGTAGAGAGAGGGACTTTTGTCTTCGCCATTGAAGTAGTAAAGGGAAACCGATGAGATGAGGTTTTTTGCGGTGAATGTGGGGCGGTGGGTGTTTTTTTGTTGAAGAGATATTATTTTCACCGTAAAATCAACAACTTCCATTTAATTATCTCAATTATTTTCAACGGTCACCCTTAGGTATATCTGCAATATTTTAGGTTGATTTTAGTACGATTATAAATATTAATATAATAGGTGTATAATTATAATATATTTGGAATCTTGAAGTAAGGGGTGCAAATTCCTCTTCGATAAACATGGAAAACTCAAATACTAATCTCATTTCAAATGAGTAGAAACAAATCAAGTTCTAGATTACTTGGAGTTCAGCAAAATATAGATTAATAATCAAAATACCGTACTAACCTTAATAATTCCTATCCCTAATCATCTTAATTAACATTAGATTACTTAAATTTAAAAAAAACATAGATTAATAATCCAATAATTTTTATTTCTAATAATCTTAATTTAAATTAAATATAATGCCAGCAGAATAGAAAAATATTTTATTCAACCCTACATAATGACCACTTCAAACATCTTCAATATCGGCATTTGCCTCATCATCAACTTCATTCTACTCTTGAACAGATTTTCGTTCTCTGCAACTTCATTATCTCCTTCAATTTATGATCGACAATTAACGTTGTGATATCAAAGGTGTTTGAAACACTGTTACTGTAAATAAAACAAACTTTTATTAAAAATATTTAAATTTTTGAAATATATATGTACATATAAACAAATTAAAGATATTAAATTCACCTCCAACAACTTTGACACGACAAAATTGTAAAATAAGTACAAGAGGTTCGATTTCACGGTTTAGAATTGAAGGCAATATTTCATCAATCTTTTCTTCCCACAAATATATTTTGTTTCGACTGCAAAATTTATAATAAATAAATAAAAATAAGGTACAAGAATTAAATTAAATTACAATTTAAATGAAACAACTTGCAGAACTGAAACATTTTATGGTTATTGTTATATAAAAATTACTCGATGTCCTTCAAAGTTATTTCGCAAAACGCGTTGTTCTGTTGTCAAAAGTCTTCGTCTGAGTTTTGTTTATACCAACCACTCGCCCAATAATGTCTGTAAACAGTAAAACAAAATAATTAAAACATGAATTCAAATAAAGGTTAATGATTTAATAACGTAGGAATAAAAAAAAAATTGAACATGAAGTCGAAAAAGGTTTCTTTAGCCAACTCAGTAAAGCTCGTGAAATTGTAGAGGAATTTTTAGAACCTATCTTTGGAGACTCTGAGTGCGTCATGAAAATAATTTCGTACCTTCCTATTGTTGTCTTGTACCTACCATAGTTTGGAGCTACAATGAAGTCCCTAATTGCAACAACACTCTTTTCATCCAAATGGCGCCTAAAAAGCTCCATATGGAAATTTTTTTACAGAAGCATGAACACGGTACCCCTGAAATTAACAAATAAAAAAAATAAATTATAAGAGAAAAAAAGTATTATATTTGTGAACATTGAAATCCTTTTACCTCCGAATCATGGAATATTACTCCAACACCCAAAACTGTAGAATGATCCAGTGTTGTAGCCTCGCAACATCTTACGACACGAACTTTTATTTTCCATTCTGTATTGTCCATGTTCACATTATAAGGAGAATGAATACCATGATTTTTTTTCTTGCTTCGTGTGTTTTCTTTTTTCTTTTTTTTTTTTGGCAATGAAGCTGTGATATAGTGAGTCAGAAATAATCCCATTACCACATAACATACTCACCTATTTAATCCCACTACAACATTAATGCATGCAATACTTATTAACTGCCCAACCACGACAAAGATTCTGACCCAATATAGACAACTGAAATACGATTGTTCAATTATTTATTATTTATTAATTATTAATCTTTTATTTAATAATTACTCCAACACTAATGCACTCAGTACTTATTAATTTGCCAGTTAAAGTGGAGTTTATATTTATATTTATTAAAATATAAATGTATAAATAAGAATTCTAGCGATGAGAATGTTTATAAATTAATGGTAGGTGCGGTAATGGTAAATATGTTCACTGACGTAAATTTTTAAATTAATTGTGGATGTGCTTGGAATGATAGATATATTCAATGTACTTATCGTACACTGAAAAACAAACTAATTTTTTACTAAATCTTTAAATAAAATGAATATATTGCAGATGAAATGGTATTTGTGTATATGAATGACATGTACAATGTGAAATGAATACATGGCACTTATACTTTCAGTGAAATATGTGAATAACACGTAGCATCCATGTAGGTTGTCAAGATTTTCCCAAAATAGAAAGCACATCATGGGACCCATAACTAAAACTTACTAAAAATAGAATGTGTTGTCTAATTATATAGTAAATAGATTTTATACATTAATTAAAGGTGGTTTTTTTTTTTCAAACGACAAACACTAATATAAATAGAAAACTCGAAAATAGTGCAGAGGGGATGTCAACTGACACCAAGGAGCCAGATAACTGAACCTACCCTCTTAAAATTCCAAAGGAATCCAAGAAATACAACTCCAACAAGGAGGCAACCGCAAAAACAAAACGAAACTCCATAAATGAGACAAAACTCCATAAAGGAGATAAAACCAGATAAGCTGGACTAACACACGAAAAACAAATAAAAACACACACCTAATAAACAAATAAACCAATACCTCCCCTACACCTAACAAACCCAACTCCCGGCCACCCAAGACCGTACACGAGCCACTTCCAATAGCACAGAGATCCAACAAAGCCGCAAACCGTAACCTCAAGCCCGAAAACTGCGGCGCGGATCTGATGAAGAGTCTGCTCTCGATTTAGATCTGGACTCCGAAAAATCATCCATACCTGTGAAGGAGGGGAGCCGCCGGAAAAGCCACCAATGACACACGCCGGAGGACTCTCGAAAGGGGTCCAAAAGCGCAGCGAGCCACACCCTTAGACACTGAAACAAAAGAGCATGAACCCATACTCACCAACGGCCGGCGAACTCAGGAGGCTAGGGGCCCGGCGCTGGCGACCGGCGACCCGTCCTTGGTCTGGGAGATAGTGAGTGGCGAGCCTGACCACACTCCCGCAAGGCCTCGAAGCAGGCGAAAAAGAGGGACCCCATCCCTGACTCGGTGGAAATCGGCTCGGATAGTGCAGCGGCAGGCCTGAGGCGGAGGGGGGCGGACGACGGCGTCGGATCTAAGATTTTTCTTTCTGGAAGATGAGAGGAAAGGGTTTTTTCAACTTGGTTTTTTCTACTTTGGAACTTCTAGAATTTCAACACTTTCTAAATATACGTGAACGATTTTGATCAATCAAATTATTTCATTTTCAATCACAACATTTAAATATACGTAATCGATTTTGATCGATCAAATTATTTTATTTCCAATCACCACATTTAAAATCTAACTCTACTATTTTTTATAAATAGAATAAATAATATGAATGAATCATCCTCATGTACCACATTAAGGCTATGTTTGGTAAAATTGGCTGATAAGTTAGCTTATAGCTCATCAGTAATTTTTGTGTTTATAGTTTATGACTTATGACTTATAGATGAAAAGTTAGCTTATATGATAAAAGTGCTTGGAAAACTAGCTAATAAGCTAGCTGAAATAAAAGTTTCAACGAACTTATTTGAAAAGCTACTCAAATAAGCTTATGAGATAGGCTGTGTTTGGTTAACCTAGCTGATAGCTGATAAGCTATAAGCTAGTTGGTAGCTGATAGCTTATGGCTTATGACTGAAAAACTTAGCTAATATAAATAAACATGTTTGACAAAAGTAGCTTATAAGCTAGTTAAAAATACAATTACTTAAAATTTAAAAATACATAGTTAGCTTATTAATATTTATAACAAATTTGTTAATATGAGTATTATTATTATTTTCATTGATTATAAAATTAAAATAAAAATAGACACACAATTTCCAATAAAAATAACACTAATAAATAATATATAGTTTATAAGCTAGTTAAAAATTACAATTACTTTAAAATTTAAAAGTACATAGTTAGCTTAATAATATTTATAAAAACATTATTATTATTATTATTATTATTATTATTATTATTATTTCCATTGATTATAAAAAATGCACAATTTTCAATAAAAAGAGCATTAATTTAAAATTTACTTATCAAAGATAAATATTTTGTTCAGCGGAAATAAGTCATACAATATCTATTTTGTTGCATTCCAAACCATCTTTGCAATATCATTGCGAATATTTTTCATCACATTTTTCATACAATATCTATATTTGTTTGCATACTACCCAATTCCCAATAATAAAATAATATTCGTCCTTTGATCATCATCCATAGTGTACCTATTAATCATAAAGTAAACAAACATTTTCATTAATATAAGAATTTCAAACAAGAGAATAGCTTTATAAAATTAATAATGCTAAATTCACATAAAGTGACTAAAAAACACATAAGCTATAAAATGTCTAATATAAAAATTTATATTTGTAATAAAACTAGAAGCATATATAAGATAAAACCAATTCACCAGTACGAATGACTATTTCTAAAATTTAAAAAATGTTCTTGGCATGCATAAACTTCAACCAAGAAAGCCTAGCACCATCATTGTCCATCTTTAGAAACATTTCTCTAATCACGGAATCCCGAAGCACACAAATCGAATGACACCATAGTTCACCACCCTCATCCATCCCGCCATTAGCTGCCAAACCGTTCATAATATCCATTACTGATTGTACACTTGCTCCATTTGAATTCTCACTATCATTGGGCGTACCATGTTTCAATAATCCAAGAACATTAGAATGAAATTCATTTACTTATCTAAGTGATGTTTAATCATTACAGATCCACCAGATTGTCTCCTTTTGTGCTTCAATTCTTTGGTTTTAGTGGACATTGGGGTCGGTTTACTTGATTGAGTACCTTTAGAGACAATATTAGGAGTTGAGCTGGCCAGAATTGGTGGATGACTCGGATCATTACCATTCACTGTAGCCACGAAATCATTCCAAAAACCATTCTCTTCCTGTTCCAAGTCTTCTAACCGAGAAGAGTAGTGAGAATATGTTAAATAAGTATCATTTCCATCCACTAAATTCACATCCCCCTCATTGTCTTCATCATCATCTATGTTCACAGGCTCATTATTGTTCAAAGATTCATGAGTGGCGGAAGGCGCTACACAAGCTGACCCAGTAGCAACTGTGTCTCGAAATAGACGATCCCATTGTTCTTCAATAAAGGGATGTATTGCCTTATTACGAAACTTCTTCGCTTCGGGCTTCTCCTGCATAATAGTAATAAGTTTTAAAATGCTCAATAAGTATTTAGAATTTATCCACTTAAGCTAATTTAAAATTACCATTACCTTGATTTTTCTCTCCCACCATTCATCAGAGCAATCGAGTTTTCAAGTAGTAGGATCTCAACCTAGCCCAGTCTCTCCAGTTTTTAAATATTTCCAAAGGCACCAATCTTTCTTCATATAATCAAACTTGTTTTTAAAGCTTTTGTAGTTTGATTTTCTTTGTGTTCGCAACTCAAACCGTGCTTGAATCTCACGCCATTAAAATGATTGGCCACGACCATTTTTCGTAATAAATTCAATACACAGGTCACAGAAGATTTTTAAGTACTCATCTGTTTCTAGAACTAAATATGACCATTACAATTAACTTCTAGGTTTATTGTAAAACTGAGCCTTTTCCCATTCATAGGTGTTTTCACAACAATAGTGATCCATCAAACTAAATAAACTAATACAATTAATAAATAAAAGATGAAAATTCATCAAAAACCGCAACAGAAAATTAGGCACTCAATTCCTAGTACAAATTTTCCCAACACAAATTACCTAAAACCATCGAAAAAAACAGAGGCCCTCAAAATTCAAACTTCTCAACAGCCACTGTGGTTACTTGTGTTCAATTTAAGAACCCAAATTATCTATTCTCCAATTTCTCAATCCAATATTTTCATCAAATTGATTTATGAAATCCATAGACTGCAAAAAGTTAAGATACAAAAATTAAAGAGCAAAATTTGTTGTAAAAATTACCTTTCTTACGTAGATGACGACATTCGGCAAAATTTGGGCGATGAAAATTCACGGAGATCTTGTGATTTACAAAGAGTTTAGGGATGGAAAATTGCGCGAGATAATTTTTGCGGGAGAGGGAGAGACGTCCGGAGAGAGAATTTAAACTGAAATAAATAAAAAACTAATAAATTATAATATCTATCTATTAATATATAAAGAGGGAATGATAGTTTTTTGAAAAAATCAAGGAGAAAATCAGCAAAAAAAAGATTTCGAGTCCCGCCTAAAATTTCAGAATTACTATGTAAATATTTTGGTAAAAATTGAAATATCCCGCTTTTACCAAATCTGTTTGAATTTTTCAGAAATTTAAAAATAAGATCTTCCTAACAAAGTGGGAGAATATCGATGATGATACATGCTATCAGATTAGTTTGACCATATTTCTAATTTCACTCTAAGATATCCTATCTGTGCCGAAGAACCCTCTCCTCTCCCTAGAAAACCTAATCCCCAAATCTGTCGTCTCCTCTCCTCTCCTCTCGCTCCATCGCTTTGCCTTCCTCGGGGACGGCGTGGCTCCGGCAGGTGGTCATCCTCGACTGCTCGGCCCATCCCTGAAGTTGTATGCCTTTGATGTCGTCATGGTTCGTCTGAGGTTGGAGTTCTGTCCCCAAGCGCAGCGCGGGTCTGCGGATGGAGATGGTGAGCCCTCGGTCTGGCAAAGATTTCAAATTCTGTAAGTCATTGTTTTTGTTGGTGAAATCTTTTTGGTAAATTTAGTTGAGTGTATATAATACGTTTGCAGGAAAGGCGAACGCTGGACTTTGAACGCCTGTGAAAGAAGCTGGGAAAGTGTCAAGTGGCATAAAATTTGCAAGTTCGTCCGCATAACTGTTGAAAGGTTGCAGGTAAATGGAGTAGTCGCCAGTTGGTTAAGCTGTCCTATTGTAATTAAACAATCTTATTTAATTATGTATTTATTTATTTTACCATTCATGGATTTTCATTGTTCTCACAGAGTGTTGCATACAATCACTCGGACCCAAACACTCGCACACCATTTGAAGTGGAAAAAAAATGCACTGAATCTGCTTAAAGTTGCAAGCTTTTTGCATCTGAAAGAGTGAAGAAAAGAGATGTGCCCTTTCTTTTTTTTTTTTTTTTTTTCTNAGATTTCAGGAAGATTCTCAAGCGCAAGGACAGTGATGCTGGTGAAAAGGGTTTGCAATTTCTTCTCTAATCTTTTTCCGCTTCCATCTTTCGCTGCATTTTTGCTCTCAATTTTTACTCTTTTTATGAAGGGGTATCGTTAATTTTGAATTGCAAAAGTGGAGTAAAAGGGTGGAATAAAGAAAAGGGTTTGAGTGAATGTTGGTGTGTATTTTTTTCAATCGTAGAAACTATTTTTATTTATTTGTAGCTCTGCGTCGTGTTAAATTTCAAGTGTTTTTCAGATTTGAAGTTGCTTTGATTGGGGAGTCTGATATTCATAGTATATTATATGGGATTTGATTGCTTGAAATTGTCTGAAAGATTACCTAATTATAACCATATTGTTCCATCTATTATTCCATAAATGTGATAAGGGGATTATTGATTAATCAGATTGGATTTTTAATTCTTTTGGAGATGAATTCCATATTCGGATTTGACAGAATTTCGAAATGCAGGAAATTCAGAACCAAAAAATGTATATAATATTTGCTTTGTTTGTGCTTGAAATGTGGATACATTTTGACTTATCTATTCGGAAAAGCAAATTAGTCGAGCCAGAAGATCAATTATATAAAAGGTTGTTAAAAGCTACAACCTTTCGGAACAATATTTTCTCAACTAATTTGATTTATGGTCTTTTCGAGGAGATTTTGCATTGTTTCTATTATACTCGGTTAGAACTTCGAGTATTGATCTAAATCTCAATAGCTATTTAGTTTATTAATATACAGAGTTTGATGAATGTAAGTTATGCTTCTTCTACTTCGACCATTGGCATATATGACCTAACCTTAGAACACGAAATCATAGGATCGGCTATTATGATTGTCGAGTAGGACTTTTGTATGAATGTAATATCTTATAGGTTCACATACCCTCAACTTTCCCCTGTGCTCGAACCGAACCAATTGTTGATTACATAATTGATTTGTTGAGAATGATTTGCATGTGGCCATTTACATTCTTTATTTTACTTAAAGTTGAAGAGGATTAGATCTTTAATTGGTAAGAGTTGTCCTTGAGCGGATCGAACTGATGGATGCGGTATCTTAGATATGTGACGGATGGTGCACTTGCCCACGACCTTATTTTGATGTTTTGATTACCAATACCATTGTTTAAGTACATTGAACATCTGATTTCACCATCTCTTTACACTTTATTTCCTCATCATATGGCAGAAGAGGAGGATTTGGAGGGTGAGCTTCGATGGATTGGGGCGTAACAAGGTGATACTCTACTCCACCTTGCTTGACCAACTGTTTGGTGGTGTTGTTTAGATGCAGTAATGTAGTAAAAAAATAATAGATTTGCTGCTACTCTCACTCATTTTGTGTGCATGTCTCTCTCCTTAATCAAACATATATGCTTTGGTGAGATTTTACTCCTGTTTCTTTTTTTTTTTTGTTTTTTGTCGTATATGTTTTGATATTGTATAGTCGCAGTGTTTAGTGCAGGTTCTCTTGCAAATGGAGCTACTGGGAGGTAGTTTCTTTGATAAAATTTTGTACTATGTTTCAAAGCTGCTTTTTATATCTAAGAACAAACAACCTTTTACTTTTTTACAGATTAGTTTTTAGAAAAATCATGTTTTATCTCTTATAGATGAATTCTAACAATGGGAAGCCTTTTTTTCCCTGCAGAATTTTAAGAAAATCACTAGCTGTGTCCATAGCAAGCACAAAGATCAGGTGATTTTTCATCTATCAATTTTTTCTCCTTTGCCGTTTTCTTACTTTTATTCTTTTGCTCTCATCATCTCATCTCTGTAATTTAGGTTAGGCACTACTACTATTGGCTCGTGAGGCGGATGAATAATGTTGGCCCAAAACTTTCTCTTGATGCCAGAACTTTCTCGAGAGGGTGTAGGAGGCCGGCTTGGATGATAATTGAACCAACCAGTTCACAGGACTTACGAGCTTATGCTAAATTTGCAACTAGGGATAAGGTGAATCATTATCATTTTCATTTGGGGTCTTTGGTTAAACTTTGTTTTTTATACCTAGATTAACTCAAAGTTCTTCAATTTGACCACATAAGAATTTATGGTTTATGTTTCACATAATTATGCAGAAACTAAATTTTTGTTTAAAATCACATAAATCTATCAGCATATGTCTCATTCTTAACTAAACGGTTTTGGAATTTGGCTAAACATAAACTCAATTTCATTGTTATTAATATTATTATTATGTATAATACTTTGTGCAATTTTTTCCTTAAAATTGATTGCTTATCGTAGTTGTTTCGTATTCGGCGATAATATGCATGCAGCTGGTGAGCGAAAGTGAGAGGTTGAGGTTGGGGAAATTGGAAGAGGTGAGCAAGAACTTAGAGCCGAAGAGCATAACTTAACATTGCCTTTTGACATATTTTGATTTTTATTGTGTGATGTATTTGAGAGAAGCTCAACTTTTATTTATATATTTGTTTCTGTTTTTGTTCTTATTATTTTTTTTTATGTGTGTGGTTGTTTTTTTTTTTTTAATTAATGGTTATTGTGTTTGCTGCTGAATTAAGTATAATTAATGCACAAACATGAACAAATATGTTAATCATACAATAAATCTTTAAGATGTTAATAAATTTTATATACATAAATCTATATAAAACATCACATTTCTATAATTTCTAATGAATCATCGAACACCGACATCTTATGCAATTTGGGATTGAATCTACCTATTTGTCATATCATACTCG